TTCAATCTTCTTTTCTTCGTCAGCCTGAGAAAGTCTAGATTAGAGGGTAGAAGAGCTCATGAGTATGTCTCACGCGTTTCATCGCATACCTCAATTCTGTAGTTGCATATCGTGAACTCTTCCCTTATGCCAGCACCAAAACCAAGTCTTTTGACGAGGATCTGCTTGCGCTCTGTCGCCTTCAATGCATCTCCGCATCCAGACGGCTACAAAACACGGCATTGGCGAATGCTTTCGCTCTAACACTCTCCTAACTTACTCGCTTGTCGCAAAGTGCGCCACCATAGCCGCTTGGACAAATACATTCAGAGCAGTTTCGTGGATGAGGGAATCCTCCATTTTGGCACTTCGCTGAGGTCGCATTCGGGCACTTTGCTGAACAGAAACGTTGTCTAGCCCCTTCCACATAGCAGGCTCTTCTCTACTTTTCCTACTCGGTTCCCCTACCTTTGCAATTGTAATGATCATTAATCATAGACTTATCGGTGAACGAAATGATCTGCGAACCCATCGACTCCTGATACCTTGTATCATTGGCTACCATTGTGGGTTACGAAGCGCTGAATGATCGGAATGCCTTGCATTACCCTAGTTCACGAGAGCGATTTATATTCACCTGGCTGCTCCGTAATGCATAATGCTACCATAATCATAGGTGAATCCATAGTTGGTAGTGGTTTCATTTGTCTCTTTCACGTATTGATCCACGAAACCTTCCTAGAAGATGGTTGGATTTTCTTGCGGTCTTATTGAAGAGTGTGCATACGTGACTCACCACAACATTATCAAGTACGACTGTAATAAATTCATCACGATCGTAACGTGACATGGTGTGGAAGAGCCCAAGCGCGTGACCGAGTTCATGTGTAGCGATCCCGACCTCAATTTTGTGCTACGTTGGGCGCACAGCGGTTGTTAAGTGAAAGTTCCTATTAGTTCCACAGTTCTCGGTTGTGAACTTTACCAGCGTGCCCACATCTTACCTGATCGCAGCCGTCACCAAGTGAGAGAGGTTGCTCACCACCGACTCCTCCTCCACTCCAAGCAGCGGTGGTCAGACACGTTGCATGCGGAATCAAAGATAGTTGGCGCCCATCCGATCAAGCATTCAATCGGGTGAAGTGGCGTGACAAAATAAGAACGGGACAAACGCTGAGGAAGAAGAAGAAGAAGACCATAAATTGATTAGTACGTAGGTGAGTAAGTAATACATCTGGAAAAGACTCGTGCTCGTCCACATTTCCGAATCCAAAGCAAACATTAGATTGCATGTGGAAAAATGAGACTCACCATTAGGAGATCCACCTTTCTACCATCTTTGAGTGGCAGTGTAATTCAGTGCTACATCCCTTTTTCAGCGACTCCGCCTCCAAAGTCGGCCTTTCAGCAAAAAAGGGCAAGTATCATGGAGTGGATGCATTCAATGTCTCTTGTAGAGTCATAGGGTTCATTCACTGGGAATCAGCCGACGGACATGAATCGTCCCAGCGCGCGGTCTTTTACCTCTACAGTTGTCTACAGTTGTTAGAGGTTAGAGGAGGCCTAGTGAATGCGTTTCTAACGTTCCCTTTTGCAATTCCTCTTTATAGACGGTTCACTTGGCGAATTTTCTTCCACATTTCTGTCAGCTCCTCCAAAAGTTAGATTCTCACCATGTCAAAAATGTGCACTAGTGACATTTTGCGCTGGGATCTCAACGCGGTTGTAAGTAAAAATCTCTAGTTATCTAATCATTCTCGTCAGAGCAAATAATAACAGCCGGAAGGAAGAAGGTGGCACCTGGCATCCTTTTTTTGGGTGAGAGGGGGTCTTATTGACACCACCATTTCACAGATCACAATGCTGTCCATGAGCACACTTCTTAGCGAAGAGGGGCTGGCTGTGACAAGAAAAGGGCTGATTAAAGTTATTTAAATTTGAGTTATGCAAGATTCTTTTAAAAAGTCGGTGGGGTTGTCCGCACATCAGTATATAAATCCTCATCTTAATTTGCTCGTGCGAAGTGGTAAAAGCAAAAAAAAAAGAAACAGAAGCAAAAGTTACAAAATAAACTTGGAGAAATCGTGGGCGTGGCCGTGGGGCGGGCTTGTTTTGGTGTCTGTTGTGATAGGCACAGTACGGCATTTCGCACAAAATTGGTTGATTGCTTCACAAAAGATTAACAAAAAAAGTGGTCCACCAGGGGCATTATGAGCTAACGGTGACTCACACGTACGCAAACGAGAGAATACATTTGTCGCACACGGCGTTTTCTCCGAGAAAAGCGGTTGTCATCAACGTACGAAAGAGAAAGACATCTGATAAAATCATTCCTGGGTACAGAGTACGGCTTTTCTCAAGTCAACGTTTGCGTACAGCAAAGTGAAGACCGACAAAAGAATCCTTCTCCTGGGGTTGACGTCATCTTCAGGCGTCATTCTCCGAAGCAGTGCTTTGTTCTTTGGTTCTGCCATGACTTCACCCTTATCTATGAAGAGGAACAACGAATGTGATAGCGAGCCCACGCTTTCATTTAATCGCAGGAAAAGTCTGTTCAGCTTATGTGATGAATGACTAGGGCACTTAATTCAGCGTCTTCCAGCCAGTGATAAGGGTTCGAATCCGCTTATCGGTAAAATATATGAGGGCGTTGCGAAACATGCGCTCGTAGAGCGGTATCATTCAGCTGTTCCCAACTATGCTTCTCCATGGAGTTTTGTTCCTGCTCGCTCTCACTTGCGGTAGGGCACTTATTGATTTTCTGTTTTTCATGATTATATTACAGTTTGAGGGCAAACGAGTTTTTTATTTTCAACGGAATTAAAATAGGCTACATATGTAAGAGGGGTACGAGCAGATATCTTTTCTAGAAAGGATATATAAAATGTGAAGCATAGGTGGATTAGAGAGACAGCCATGATGTACTGGTTGACCCTATCGTTATCAGCTTTGCCTTGGTTGTGGGAACTACAGATGTTTGATCAAATACCTTCTAGATCTTACTCCGCAAATCCTTTTGACTTTTCAATGCTGATGATATCTTATACTGCACATCCGCAGTATGCGGTAGGCGTGACTACGTACTTCATTCGAACGAGGTGGTTTCTTTGACGAGCTTTTGATGCGGTATTTTCAGTGCGGGACACTTGCAGACATATCGAAATATCTTTGTTCAAGACGAAACAGGATACAATAGTCTTAAATGAAAAAAATTCTACGGATAACTTATCTCAAACCATGTTCAAACGAAGTGTGAAGCCAAAATCGATCTCTCGGTTTGGAAATCTGTTTTCAAAGAGGCTAACCTTCTCACGGTTGCATTCATTGTTCCCGCACCATCTGTTACTGCTCGAAAGTCTCAAGTTTTGCTCACTTTGAGTTTGGAAGTCAGGCAGGTTCTGAGTACATAAGCATCGTCGGCGCCTTCAAAATTCACGTTCTGCTAACCACAAGGCTGAGCCTAGGAGGAAGTGTGATCCTCCTCCCCCAGGCTCAGCCTTGGCAGAGCGCAGGCGCTCAAAATGCACTACGCTAGCGTAGCCCGAAAACAAGAATGCTGTATTCGTAATCAGGACATTGGTGGCTCCGGTATACGAGTTTACATCGATTTTGGTGGAAAACTAGGTATTTCACTAGTCCAATACTGGAAGGTGATAAGAAGCCAGAGGCAATCCTTAGCATCAGTTTTCTCCGTATGCGTCGGAAAACATCTGGATAAAAGAAAAAGCTCTTTCACGCAACTAAGAAGACGGGAAAGAGATAAATCGTGAAAAAGTTACAGGGGTTGGTACCTGCTCTCTGAAGGGGGAGGGGTTCGCACGGATTCGACAAAAATCCCCAACGCATGATGTGTCGTGTTTCTGGCTTTTACAATGAACTGAATCAGCTTGTGACGATTTGCTTCAGCGTTCGCTCTTCTCCAACCAGGTGTTGGCGAAAAATCCCCTAAGACAAGTAGGATTAATACGCCTGGACAGGACGGAATTCCGCGACCCTGAGCAGGCGCTGCATAATGCCTTTTCCAAGGGAGGTGCCCTTATAAGGGCCCTATCAAGCCACAACATACCGACCCAAACGCCCGCCACGCCCGCCCGCCCACAAATGGACGACCGTTCCTGACGCTCTAATCGATTCATTTGCTAAGCAAATTATGAAGCGAAGGGATTGGTATGAAGCGGCCGTGATGCTGCATGCGCACATATGCAGCCGTACCTTCGGTAGCGGTTATTGGCAAGATGCCTACAGGAAACTCGTCCAAAACTGACAACACATTGAGAACGGAGGCTCTTTCTTCGCAGGATTTTGACCGTTTCACTCCGTTCTTTCGCCATTTCCCCACTATATAGCGCCCTACTAGCATTTTAGGCCGAGCACCAAATCATCGTGCCAACTGCCCCAGTTACTCCGCCCTCTCGTTAGCTATGTCGTATTGCTCGCTTGCATACTCTCTCGCTGCTCTTCTCTGGTTCTCCCGATCAACTCTCTAGCCATCCCCAACTCGCTCGGAGCAAGGAGAGTCTCACGTACGGCATTTTTGACGGTTTCATCGTCTTCTTCTTCCTGGTGTGTCAACTAGCACTAACTTCTATTTTCCAACCCAGCCACATTAGATTTCCCACGGGTATCGTGGAATGTGGCGAAAAAAAAATGCAATATCACCTATCACAGAGCAAATACCTTGTTCTGGAGAGGTGGGCCAGCAAATGTCGTAGATGATTAGCGCTAGAGTTCATATGTAATACGAGGTCTTCCAGTGACTGCACTGAACTGCCCAAGTGGTTACACCGAGGGGAACGACGACATCTGCTACAAAGTACGTTCCGATACTAGTGAATGTATGCGAAAATCCCGGTGAACTTTCTTCTTCTAGGTGTTCACCAATCGCAGTAGCTATTTCGCGGCTTCCGCAGCTTGTGAAAGCGATGGCGGCAGACTGGCTTCTATACACAATGCTTTCGTAAGCGATACCCATTGATAACAGAAAATGTCCATACTTCAATGAAGTTAGAAAGTCATTACAGATGAACAATCTGGTCTACGAGTTGGCCCAGAAAGCGGGTGTCCTCGTTTGGTTGGGTCTGAGGTGTTCTGACACTGTAGCGGAAAACTGTCAGTGGGACGATGGAAAGGGTCCTTCGAGCCCATATAATGCCTTTTACCCAGGTAATTCGGCTATACAAAAACCCGATTCCCCCTTCTAGGAACAAACTTTTCAGGATATCCCAGCACAGCGGGAAGCTGTGTATTGATGATGATTGGAGGACAAGCTGATGGAAAATGGATCAGTGGTGACTGCGACATTATGCAAATCGGCTTTGCCTGTCAAATCACCAAGCAGAGTACACAGTTCACTTTCCTATACTCGGGCTTTATAACCGATATGAGTATACTCTAGTTCGCTGCGGATAAAGAGGCGTGTCAGGCAGTATGAGTGTGCCACGGCGCCAAACCCGTTCTCTGCCAGTTGTTGAAGCGAGTGTGCGACAACAAATGGCAGAGAACATGTGACACGAACGATATGACAGTCTTGTCACTGGCTGGCTGGTTGAGAACACGCTTGGCACCGCGCCAAACTCATACCGCCTGACACGCCCCTTCGTCCGCAGCGAACCAGACTATTTTTCATACAGATCCTTGTGGAGACTTCATCGAATTCAATGGTCAATGCTATAATGCGTTCCAACAGCAGCTGTCCATGAGTGCAGCTGAGTCAATTTGTGTCGAGCATTGTGGTCATCTTGCCTCTATTCACAACCAAGATGTGAGTCATTTCTCATTCTTTTCGGATACGGTTGCGACTGCAGCCCATACAGACAGAGCTTGAGAATGGATGTTCTTCCCATAAAAATGCTGCTGTTTCTTTAACAGCACTCTCCACCCATATTTCTCTAGGCGTTGTTCCCTTCCGCTACCATGTTAATGTTCAAATTCGACTACCATTCGGCCGGGCAATTGAAATTTGTGAGGACAGTCAAAGGAGACTAGATATCGTGCTTTAAAACCCTATCTACCCCATTTTCGATTAGAAAAATTATCCAGAATACTTACACATTGGCAGCATACAGTCCTCTTCATTGTGGACTGTCGGGGCGGCTGAGCCGCGCTGCACTGTGACGCGACAGCGGCTGCGGCTCGGTGACGGCGAATCAGCTGATTTCCATGGAATTCGGCTGCGAATTCCCACTTTTTCAGCTCTTCAAGCTTCGAAAGTGGAAGGTGAGTTATTTTGAACAATTTTAAATTGTACTGGCTCTGAATGAATCTGAAAGAATGCAAGCCATTTGAATAAATGCCTGAAATAAGGCAAAATACAAGGAAAAGAGCATAATAATCGACATAAAAATAAAGGAAATTCAGTACAATTTAAAATTGTTCAGAATAACTCACCTTCCACTTTCGAAGCTTGAAGAGCTGAAAAAGTGGGAATTCGCAGCCGAATTCCATGGAAATCAGCTGATTCGCCGTCACCGAGCCGCAGCCGCTGTCGCGTCACAGTGCAGCGCGGCTCATCCGCCCCGACAGTCCGCAATGATGAGGACTGTATCTGTGCTGGGGCGCAGTTCAGGTAACTGGCTCATGTTGTGGGAGCTTCTTTGAGGGAAAAGAATTCCGCGTTTGAGTCTACCAGTACTCGCGTACTAACCGACTAATTTGTGAATCGATGAGCTGCATAGGCTGATCACTCGAAGAGACTGATATTCAGCAGGAAGCTCGGAGTAGAGAATGGTTTGCTGAATTTAGACAATTTCAAAAAAGTGGTCCCCCGAACCGTGTATGTTGCAGTGGCGCCATTAACCATCTCCTCACATTCCACAAAGACTTCATTTGGAAACATTTATCTGTTCAGTACCCATTAAGTTTCTGTACTCTAACTGCCCTAACTGCATGGATGGAAATGGAGAAAAACAAACCTAGCTATAATAGACTTTCAGGAAAATTTGATGATCGGAACACTTTTTGAACCGCAGACAAACTATGCTGCGATTGGCCTCAAGAGACAAACCAGTGGAACATATAACTGGACAGATCAGTCCTCCTATGACTTTGACAATTTCGGTACAAACGATAAGATTTTTAAATATTGTAGTCGAGTACTTAATGTAAGCTGTTGCAGGCAACAGTAACCCAGCATTTGGAGAATGTGTTGCGATGTCATTGGTAAAGGAGCTGGTGAACACAGGACAATGGATTACCGTTTCATGTGGTCAAGCGTTGCCGTTCGTATGTAAGAGAGGTAAGATGCCATACATAACTTGAAGGCAGGTGGCACAACAATCCCCAAGACGTGCAGGATTAATAAGCTAGCAGGACGGATTTCGGCGATTTTGAGCAGGCGCCTTGTGGCGCTTTTTCCACGGAAGGTGCCTTCTATAGCGTCCTACCAAGTTGCAACATACCGACCCGGACACCCACCGCGCCCACAAATGTCCGACCGGCTGATGCTCGTATCACTTCATTTGCGGAGTGCAATATGAAGCGAAGGGATTGATATTAGGTGATATCAGGCGATACTGCTGGATGAGTTCATGCATGCGGCCGTAACGCCAATGGGGGAACTCGTCCGAAATCGCTTTCGGAGTCGTGTAGAAGTCTTTTTTTGCGGATTTTTGACCGTTTCCCTTCGCTTTTTTCTCATTTTTTCGCACTATGTACCACTTCTGCTACCATCCGAGACCGAGTCTCAAATTATCGTGCCTTATGCCTTTGACTATAGCGTAACCGTAAGTAGAGCAGAAGCAATCCCTCCATCCTACGGTCGTGAGTGTGCTGACCAATCCGCGACAATTTCGTGCTTGTCATGCTCAACGAGAAACCAGCATTGGTTTGAAAGGTTGCGGAAATAGGAATTCAGATGGAATCAGTGGCTATATGCAGCTTATGCCGCTCGACAGGGTTCTTGGGAGGAAGAGATGAGTCATAGGTGATCTACGACAGGTGGATTGGATGCTAGAGTACATTTCGTTAGTGCAAGTCATTGGTAGTGGGGTCCAAACATAAATGTGTAGAGCTAGGGACTCTGATGAGTTTTTAATGCCCTTAATGAGGTCCTCCTCTTCTCAGATTGTTTTCAGCTTTGGACGATAATCCGTGTGAGCGAGCACTGCATAGACCCGAGAGGAGGGTTACGCAAACAGGAACAGGAAGTAAAAGAAAAGACGCAGTCTCACAGAGGAAGTGACGTCTTTCATCCTTGAGTGCCGTCCTTGCTTACGAGTGGCATTGCTAGGGTTAACGATAAAGCTATGTGGTCACTCATTGGCCACGGAAGTGGCGCAACCTCTACGATCTCCTGGCGGGACACTCTAAAAGAGAACGGAACTCTAGCTAACAGGTAATGTGGGATTGTGTGTTCAAAGAAAGAGATAGAGGAGAAAGTGAGGGGTGTTTGAGGAAAACTCTCCGCCACCATGCTCAGAACAATTTAGAGGTGGATCACAGCAACAGAGGGATATTTGCCAAAAGAAGTAATATAATGGGAGAAGGTTTGTAATATGTAAATATTTGTGAATGTTTTCATTCAGGCTTTTAGTGGGAATCAACGGGATATTTTAGGCCCTACCGCCACCTGGAACTCTCCGCCACCATGCTCAGAACAATTTAGAGGTGGATCACAGCAACAGAGGGAATTCTTTTGTCGCTGTCCTTGTCCACCGCAACAGCTCACATAACAACTCACAGCAGCCATACAACAAAGCATCAGAAACGTTTGGACCTGGATAGTCCGTGAATCCTATGGTCTTAGGTGACACCCCCTCAAGTTATCATTCAATCGTATGACGTAGTCACTGTGGGCCAGTCCCAAGCCATTCTCTCTACTGTTCCTAGCCCTCATAAGGCACATTTCCCAGTTACCTCGTTGTATAGCATCTTCAGCCGAGAAGATAAAATGTTTTGCAACTCTTTCATGTTTGCCGCTCAAAGTTGAATGACATGAGCGCCAGACAATCGTGCCGTGCGCTATACCCATTCACTAGCGCTAGGCGCTACGTTTATTTCTACGGCTAACTGGTGACGCGGTTTTCTGATAGTCGCTCTTCGCATTCCGATTACGAATGGTGACGTACTTTAGACAAGACCTGGGACGGTAGTAATTTGTCTAAATCTCGCAATCAAATGTGATGAGTTGCTCGCAGTTATGCAGAACAACGAGCGATGTATGAGCGAGGCAACCACGCTGGAAACAACGCTGGGCTATTTGCAAAATTTTCCTCAGCGGTCGGTATCGATCTCATCACCATGCGAGTGGTAGCACGAACAATTGTCGCTACGCTACTAATCAGTATGCCGACTTAGCGGCTGTCCTGTAACAAGCAATGAACTGAACATGGCAAACACTTATGTTTTCAGTCAAATTAGTTAGTCAAATTTTCATTTTTTTTATTCTCACCTCCATCCCCCTAGTCGATTAGGGTAATCGGCTACATCATTTCATATTCTAATGGCACATCTTTATATGATATTTGCATTTTTTCTAATCACCCCTTGTAGTAGCAAACCGTTTTGACTGGAAAATATTCAATTTTCAAAGTTTCTCTTCAACTGTGCAATGGATGGCCACGCCCTCCCCATATCTCGATTTACATTCCCTCGGGCCATCAACCCTACCACCCACTTTTGTCCTCCCCGCTATACCTAGGCCTGTGATCTAAGCATTTCTGGACTTGGAAAGCTGTTGAAGAACCCCCAACTCGCACCACAGAGATGGCCATCTTTGAAAAGTCCTCTGGAGGACTTTTCACTGCACAGAACGGCGACTATCTGCGTCTCTCCGTTTCGCGTAATGTCTCCACCTCGTGGTTGAGAACTCAAGTGCGACATCATAACGTCGCAGTTCAACGGAGATAGCAAATGTTTCACCGTTCAGGTCGTGGTAACGACCACCCAACCTCGACCTTTCTTAATAAAGTCTCTGGAATAGGCGTTTTGGACAGTCGTCCTTACCGCGAGCTGATGGTTACCTGTGAACTGCCAGTTTATGGCGCAACATTAGTCAGCCGTCCCGACGATACCGTCACCCGTATGTTCATGCAAGCTCGAATTCGAAGGGAGTCTCATCAGCTGGGTTATCAATCACCTTGACATCAGTATTCGATCCATACAACCACGATTTGCAATCATTTTCTAGAAACACGCCAGAGTTTCATTTAGTGCCCAAGACATTAGACATCGTCAGAACAATCTTTTCGTTGAAATAGAAGACAGTTCCCCACGATCAAGCGTCATGGATGGTTGCTGCCAATTATGAACCAGTAGCTGATAAGCATTTCCCCAAAGAAGCGAAGAAGCAGGAAGAATCTTCAAGAACATCATAAAAAAATTGCTCTCTGACAGTCATAGCAAAAACACCGACGGAAAACACGTAATGAAAAGAAACTTTCGAAAACTCTGCATAAGAATTTAGGATTATGTAGCGTGCATCTTGCAGAGCAGTCGAGCTTTGCACCAAAAACTCCCTTCTTTGGTGAATTTAACTCGTTTTGCCATGCGAGTTGGATTGCAATTGACTGCATGTGTTCCTAATGAATAAGATGTAATGAAGAGCCGAATTGCTTATGGGCACTAGCGCGGCCAGCAAAAATGGGCATGCAGTCCCGTTAATGCCGCCGCCCCAACCAAGAGCAACTGAGCGGCCCTGCTCAGATGTGGGGTAACATCTAGCAAGTGGGTGGCCCAACTGAGCGGGTGTTCCAAGTAGGACTTTTGGCAGCTGTAACACCCCACTCGATCGCTGTGGAGTAGCGAAAATGGGACAGTCTCTTGGCTGGGGGGCTGGACTACTTGCACAAGGAAGGACGACCACGAATTACTTGAGCGCGGAGGCTGTCTTTAATAGAACCATCAACTTATTCATTAATCCGCGAGCCAGTCACAGTTTCAAGTCTGTGTGCTTTCAGAAATGGGATTATGCATCGAAACGACCACCAGTTCTCTTGTTACACTTGCACCATCAACATGTGACACACCACAATTCTTTGACGGCAACGGCACGGTCGGTTTTATATGGATTTGATATCGTCGCAATCAGTCGGGGCGGTGTCAGTAGAGGTGGATGAGCCCGCCCCGGCAGCGTTATACCAATAGTGAACGGATTTGGGACTAAAATAGCTAGTGGTAGAGAACGCCGCGGGTGGGTTGATGCCAAGCCTCCTGCCTTCCTACTGATGGTGAGTGTACGATATCAGTTGTAGTTGAGATTTTTGTACCGTGGAACTTCTAACCATTCAATTTCAGTTCTACTCCCCGGGATACCCGGCATCCTCTCAAGGAGTAACACCCTGCGTGTATGTGCTGACAGTAGCTCCTCAGGACCTTGTTCAAATTCACTTCATAGATATCCAGCTCGGCGATGGCAGCACTATAGAGCTCTACAACAGCTTCGTCGACACTGTTCCTTTCATTACGTACTGTTTCAAACACAATGAGAGAATCTACTCGTTATTTCATGTAATCGCTGTGATTTCAGCATAACTGGCAATGTTCCTTCTTCGCAAGTACTTTTCATCTTCATCGAATGTGATGAAGATGATCTATCGTGCAGGGAATCAAGCTGCCTCGTCAGCTAGTTATTTGGACAGATGGGAAGCTCAGTTCATGCCAGAAGTCTCTGGTGAGCGGCACCGATCTTGTTGAAAACCGCCGAACGCGTTACCTTCTTGCTTTCACTCATAACTGACAGAGTAAATACAATAGTTTAGATAAATAAGTTTTACAGCTTCAACAGTACCGTCCGTCACAGTGACCGCATCACCGATCAGTCCTTCGGCAATGCAACCAAGCAATTACCGTACCTACAAATGTAAGTATCGTAAGTATCATAAAAGGATAAAGGATAAAGTCTTCGCCGTTGATCAATCCCTTTGTGGGATGCGGCACGCATTCTACTTCCATTCAGAATCGTAGTGGCTGAATGCGATGTGGCCTGTACAATGACTTGCGGGAGACAGACGATGTGCGAGTCGATGTTCTCATCCTCCCAGAAAACCTGGTGTCAGTCATCGTCCGGAGAGTATGGAAGCGTTGGTTGGCTTGCAGCTAGGGAAGTTGCCCCACCCCCTCTCCCCTCCCGGACTGCTCGGTAGTAAGGTGGCACTTGCTACTATAGA